GATGAATTATGTCCAATAAATAAAATAGCCAGACAAAAAAATGGGACCTGACCAAAATTCAAAATTCGAAAAAAAAAAGCCCCTCTGATGACCACAGTCCTCGAGGCCTGCAGACCTTCATGGGCGCCCAGTCTAGAAGTGGTCCCACGAGGCCCAAAGATGGGCGCGGGCCTATTCTTCGTATACGTGCTCTTCAAGACCGTCGTCTGCCATTTCTTGATGACGCTTCTCTGGATGATCGGCGTCGAATGTGCTCAACATCCTCATGGGGCGTACGGGGTCGTCGCTGATTGGGTGCCTTCTTTGGGATTCCTCAGAGATTATCCTCAGTTCGATTTTCTTACGCCCGCTCCATTCGGGGTGAGTTTTCTTTTTTTTTTTTTTTATATGAATTGTCTGCTTTCCCTCTTTCTAGTTATCACCATCTGGATATTCACTTCGACACAGTGTCACAATTTCTGTTTTATTCAAATCTTGGGGCTGAATTTCGCTCTGATTGATTTAATTTATTGTTCACTTTTAGGGAGCAGCCTGGTTTGCAATCGATACGCTGGGCGGAATACTAACTCTTCTGGAGGTGATTCTGTACCAAGTAGGACCGTATGTTCTACCGAAAGATCTAGCGCCAGGGAAATTCGACTCGACCCTGTACCCCCCCTTATTCAACGACTTACACGCCCGCGAGAGCTTGATAGCGTTCTGGTCAAAAGGTCTGTTGTTCAAGAATATGTAACTTCCACATTCCAATCCGTCTTTGGACTGATCAGGTTAGCAAGGGAACTATAGGTTGGCATGCTATCTTTCGGAGGAACATCGTCTTCTGTGGCTGGAATCCGATGGAATATCTCTTCTCGTCCTTCGGGAAAGATGCTGCTAAGACGGCCGGCATGATGGGCGGAATGATCTTCAGCGGAATTTTCCACGAATACCGTGCGCATCAATATAACCACATTTTTTTTTCCCTCTAAGTTTGATTTACTTCGGATGGGTTGATGTGGTTTTTGTTGATGGAAATGCTTCTACTAATTAGTAATCGCGGCGGTGTCCAAGATCGATTGGAAGTTCCCGACGGTCTTGATGTTTACTCTCTGTGGACTAGGCATGGTCACGGAGGTCCAATTCAAACGCCAGACAGGACTCCTTGTCAAAGGCATTCCCGGACGTTGGTGGCTGGTGCTTGTGATTGGAGCGGGTGGGAAATACATGGTCGACAGCTGGTCAGTTTGTCTCCTCCCTTCCTTTCCACGATCTCTTTCTCTTTTCTCCAAGAAAAGAAGCCCGACGAGCAAGTCACGTCGATTGGGGAACATGGCGGCTCATCGTGATGTTGTTTGATGGCGAAATTCAAATTAATAGGATGGCAAGGGGGTTGGGCAGGAGCGATATGCCGCCGCCCAGACTGTGGACGTGGCCGAGATTCCTGGTTCCGTTCTCGGGATTAATGCCAGAAAGATGGATATCTCGCATTGAATCTTGGGTGCCTTAAGTCGTTGTTCGTTCATCGCCTGTATAGAAGGAGTCTTTTTCTCTATATTAATTATTGGCTTATAACACCAAAAAAAAAAACTGGTGTACTCATTCCACCCCAATTTCACAGTAGATTCCCTTTGTATAGTTCTTTATAGCCTTCTTATTACCGTCTCACATTCTAGCCCACAAGTATCAGATCTGTGTACATCAACATAGAGAGCCCTCTTCATGTCAGGGAAAACAAAAACCAATCTCTTCTGCTAATTGTTGATTGTAGCTCAGACAAGATTTCACTCATTGTTTTTCTTTTGGTTCCTTTTTTTTCCTTCTTTTTTTATGGGAAATGAGATACCTATCAAAGGGGGTTCCTTGGGGCATTGATCTGGTCTGGACCAAAGTCTAGAATCTAAACTAAGTGGGTAGTTATATGTTTGAGGTTGATCAATGTGGCTTCTAGTGATCTAAGCTTGATTGTATTGGTTTGCAAATCATAGCCAACACAAAGGAAGTCCAATACATGTCAAGATATCATGATTTCCAAGATGAGAAGAAAAAAAAGAGCTCTGTCTAGTGATAATCAGAATGATCTTTCAACAAGGAAGTTGAATTGGAGGTAAGTTAGGAAGTCAGCCTGAGAGCATGATGGTCAATTAGGGTATAAACTGACTAGCACCCATATTAAGCCTTCTTGTTAGGGTTTTTTTTTTTGATTTTGTATTGCATTTCTTTTCTTTTGGAAAGGAAAGAGACAGGCCGGTGCAGTCCCCAAAGCGACTCCAAACCCAGTTTCCACAGAGTATCTTTCTCCCACTAATTGGCCAGCACAGAAGAGTTTTCCAACTCAAACAACCTCTTTCAGTTCCCAGATCCCACCTTAAGCTCCTCAACAGGGAAAACAACATCTCCACCTTGGTGATGAAAGAGTCATCAAAATTCAGCTGACTCCTACTCAACCCGCCAGAGACCCCCCAAAAAAATCTCAATTTTTTTGTCCTCTTTGAATCATGAAATTACAAATGGGTGTGGACTCCTGTACAGTAGGATGCCTTGCACAACCTGTAGCAACCATGGTGGTGTTGCTATAATTGGCAAAGCAACCCCCAGTGGAGCTGCTCTTCAGTTTCAGTAGGCCCCAGGATTCAAGCTTAACTAAGCCTCTCTGAGGAGGTGCAGAGTCTCTCCAAAGGAGAGGCTTACCTCTGAAGTTGCTTGCTTGGCTCAAGGGAAATGAGCCTTTCCTTGAGAAAAACCCTCATCTTATTTTATTTTTCAAAAATAGACTGCTCAGACTATGAAAAAAAGAATAGACAGAGTTGTAGCCTGCTGAATTGGCCTTCATTGTATATAATTTTTTTTTTTTTTGTATTTCTTGCTTTCACAACAAGTGGTGAAGCTTGCTTCCTCCTCAGCACTGTTCCTGAGCTTTGTGATTTGTGAACAGATTTTACAGCACATTTCTTGCCAGGCCCAGAGTAGAGATGGGCGCTTTGGATCCGGATATCCGCGCGGATGCGGATATCCGGTCTCTTTTTCCGGGGAAAGCGGCATCCGCACCCGCATCCGCACCCCCTGGCGGATATCCCCCCGCCTCAGCGGGTATCCGAGCGGATATCCTCGGATACCCGCCCTCTAAATGGCCGGCGAGGCACATCCTCGCCGGCTGGAAAGGTTTCCTTCCAGCCGGCGAGGTATCGTTCCAGCTGTGGAGGCATATGTACCTCGCCAGCTGGAAGGGTTTCCTTCCAGCCGTCGAGGTACATGTACCTCGTCGACCGGAAGGAAGCCCTTCCTGCCGGCGAGGTACACGTACCTTGTCGACCGGAAGGAAATCCTTCCGGCCGAAGAGCTCCATGTTCCGGTCAACGAGGTACATGTACCTCGGTAAATGTGAGGCGGTCCTTCCCGGCCGAGAGCTACGCGTGACTCGACGGATGATCGAAAGTCTTTCCGGACGAGAATCGCCCCTTGACGCCCTGGATTTTAATGGGGGAACCCTCAGCATGCGCAACACACTGAGGGGAGGGGAGTACTGCGGGATTTCGGAGAGGAGAACACCTGTCCTGGCCCGTTGATTGCAGATTGTAGGGCTAAAATGTGGAAGGATCTCTCGCCGAGATCCTAAAGGGGAGAGGGGTCGGGATCCAAAAATAGTTCCCGGCCAGTAAGCCGACAGTTTTTGAGGGCCAGGATTCGGATCGGGTCACGCTTCGATATGAAGATGTCCATCAGGCCTAGGGGTCATGGGATGTATTCGAGGACGGGGGCGACAGTTTTGCATGCCCGTGGCCCGCGGGGGGTGAGTATTTTAAGGCTTTGGGGTCTCCATTACGAGACCCCCTTTAGTTGCCTGATCTTTCACCACATACTGGTTCGAACTACACACCCCGAACCCTCACGGTCGGTTTTCGGCCTTATGGGGATTAAATTT